TTTGTAGTTTTCAGTGTACAAGTGTTATAAATTTATTCTTATGTATTTTATTCTTTTTGATGCTATTATAAACAGAATTGTTTTTCTAATTTCACTTTCAGATTGTTCTTGCTAATGTATAGAAAAACATTTTTTGTATTTGTATACTGATCTTACATTTTGTAACCTTGCTAAACTTGTGTATTAGTTCTAATTGTCTCTTGTGGAATCCTTAGGTTTTTCTTTATACAAAGTCATGTCATCTGCAAATAGAAAGTTTTACTTCTTCCTTTGCAATCTAGATACCTTTCATTTCTTTTTCTTGCCTTACTATCTTAGCTAGAATCTACAGTGCAGTGTTAAATACAAGTAGTAAGAGTAAGAATTCTTGTGTTAATCTTGATCTTAGGGAGAAAGCTTTCAGTCTTTACTGTTGACTATGATGTTAGCTATGGGGTTTTCATAGATGTACTTTATCAGGTTGAGGGAGTTCCCTTCCGTTTCTAGATTGTTGAGGGTTTTTTTTTTTATCATGAATTCATTGGGTTTTGTCTAATACTTTTTCTGTGTCTATGGAAATAATCATTTGGAGATCTTTATGGCATATTACATTACTTAATTTTCATATGTTGAACCAACTTTACATTGCTGGCATAAATTCTGCTTGGTCCTGGTACATAATCTCTTTTCTATGTTGCTGAATTTGGTTTGCTATTATTTTGTTTAGAATTTTTACATTGGTTTGTGCCCACACAAGAATATAAAATTTTTTTTTACATCTATATTCATAAATAATATTCTTTAGTTCCCTTTTTTTGTGATACCTGTGTCTGGTTTCGGAGTCAGGGACTGGCCTTACAGAATGAGATGAGAAATATTTCTTCTTCACCTATTTTTAGAAGAGTTTCTGAAGGATTGGTGTTAATTGTTTAAACATCTAGTAGAATTTACCATTGAAGCCTTCCAGTCTTGGACTTTTCTTTGTGGGAAGCTATTTTTTAACTATTAATTCAATTATTAACATGTTATAGGTCTATTCTTATTTTCTGTTTCTTCTTGAGTCATTTTTGGTAGTGTGTGTTTGTGTAAGAATTTGTCCAATTTACCAGGTTATCTAATTTGTTGGTATTCAATTATTTATAGTATTCCTTTATAATCTTTTAATCTATGTAAAGTTGTTAACAAAGTACCACTTTCATTTCTAATTTTAGTAATTTAATAAGTCTTTTCTCTTTTTTCTTGGTCAGTCTAGCTAAAGATATGTCAATTTGTTGATCTTTTCAAAGAATTAACTTTTGATTTTGTTGATTGTGTTGCTTTTCTGTTATCTTATTCATTTATTTCTGCTCTAATTTTTATTATAGTAAGCCTTATATCCATAGGTTTCACATCCAAGGATTCAACTAACTGTGGATTGAAAACAGTATTTTCAGTCCATGGTTGGGAGTCTGCGGATGTGAGAAGCCAACTGTATGTATTGTTCTACACCACTGAGCATCTGCAGATTTTGCTTTCGTCAGTGGGTCCTGGAACCAATCCCCAGGATTGTACCTCCTTCCTGCTGCTTTCTTTGAATTTAATTTCCTCTTCTTTTTCAAATTTCTTTGTTTTTTTTTTAATGTGGGCTTTTATAGCGATGACATTCCCTCTAAATGCTCCTACTCATAGGTTTTAGTATGTTGTATTTTCCTTTTCATTCACCTCAAACTATTTTTTTAATTTCTCCAGTGGTTTCTTTTTTGACCTATTAGTTATTTAGGAGTTTGTTGTTTAATTTTCATATATTTGTGAATTTGCCATATTTCCTTCTTTTATTGATTTCTAGTTTCATTCCATTGTCATCAGAGAACATAACTTTCAGTCTCTTTTAATTTATTGAGACTTGATTTATGGCCTAACATTTTGCTTTATCCTGCAGAGTGTTCTTTGTGCACCTGAGAAGTATATGTAGTCTATATATTCTGCTGTTAGTGGGTAGAGTCTTCTGTATGTCTCTTAAATCTAGTTGGTTTATAATTGCTCAAGTCCTCTATTTCCTGTCTAGTTGGTTTATCTATTATTGGATGTGGAATATTGAAGTCTCAAACTATTATTGCTGAATTGTCTGTTTTTCCTTTCAATTCTTTCAGCTTTTGCTTCATGTATTTTAGGACTTTGTTGTTAGATATACATATATATTTCTAATTGTTATATATTTTTCACACTTTGACCCTTTTATCATTATAAAATGTCTTGTGTCTCTAGTAACAATTTTGTGTCTTAAAGTCTGTTTGTCTGATATTAGCATAGCCACGCCAGCTTTCTTTTGTTTACTGTTTGCATAGTATATATTTTTTCCCATAAGGATCTGTTCTTATGTCTTTTCTTTTCCCTGTGCTTTCAACATATTTGTGTCTTCGAATCTAAAAGTCTTGTTAGACAGCATGTAGTTAGGTCAAATTTTTAAATTCATTCTGCCAGTCTCTAACTTTAATTGTAGTATTTAATCCACTTAATGTAATTACAGCAAAGGTAGGATTTGCATTTGCCATTTTGCTCTTTGTTTTCTATATATTATGTCTTTTGTTTATTTAATCCTCCATTCTGCCTTCTTTTACATTAAATATATATTTTCTATTGTATAGTTTTAATTTTCATTTCTTTTACTGTAGGTGCCCCAGTGTTATAATTAACGTTTTAGTTTATAATAATCTAGTTTGTGTTAATATCAACTTAATTTCAGGAGCATGCAAAAACTTTACTCTCATATAGGCTTTATTCCTTTCCTGTTTCTTTGGACATTATTATAATACAAACTATGTTTTTATATCTTATGTGCTTATATTAACATAGATTTATAATTATTGCTCAATGCAATTGTCTTTTTAAAAAGTTATAAACAAAAATGTATTTATGCTGTCTTTTATATTTACAAATGTAGTTACCCTTACTAGTGCTATTTATTTCTTAATATGGACTTGAGCTACTGTGTAGTGTCCTCACATTTCAGCCTTAAGGAATTCCTGTAGTATTTCTTGTAGGACAGGTTTGATAATGACAAATTCTCTGTTTTTGCTTTATGAAGAATGCCTTAATTTCTCCTTTATTTTTGATGGAAAGTTTTGGTGGATGTAGAATTCTTGATTGACAGTCTTTTTCTTTCAGCACTTTCATGTTATCCTACTGCCTACTGGCTCCCATGGTTTCTAATGAGAAATCTGTTAATCTTTTTGAGGATACTTTGTACGTAAGGAGTAACTTCTCTTTTTGCTTCAAGACTCTCTTTTTTTGGCTTTCAGTAGTTTGACTATGATGTGTCTAGGTAAAAGTCTCTTTGAGTCTATTATACTTGAACTTTATTGAGCTTCTTGGATGTGTAAAGTAATGCTTTGTTGTCAAATTTGAGAAGTTTTCACCATTATTTCTTCAAAATCCTTTCTGATTATATTTTCAGTAAATGCCCCCAAGGGAAAAAGCAGTTGCGGTGTGTCAGCTCCAAGTCAGGTCAAACAGATACAGTCTGGTGAGTGCTTTATTCCAGGGAAACACCAGGCATTCAGATGACAATTCTCTGGGAATGGGTCTTTGAAGGAGTTCTACCCCTTCTCCTTTCAGTGTCTGTTAGGCTGCTGTTTTACAAGCTGTGATTATAAGCTATTGGTTTTCAAGGTTACTACAGACTTGAAGATACAGAATGGGAATAAGGCAAGTTAAAATATCATAAAGCACACTGTTCTTACTAAGATTCAGTTGTTGTTTTTTTTTTTTTGAATAAATGCTCCCCAGATAGCTGTAAGCCTTCAGTTACTTTCCAGATTCTGAAAAGTTATTCTAAAGATGTTTTCCAGTGTCATTATTTCTTTTATGGAGCAGAGACTTTTGAGGGGTCCTTATTCCGCCATTTCTCTGACATATCTCTGTTCATTTGCTTTTAACTTTAAAGTTACGTCTTTTATTGGGGGGAATAGAAGAGGCAGTATATTTAAAGCGAAGCAAGACCAGGATTTTGTTTCAACTATGTATATGACATTTTCTCTCTTAAAATTGGGGCCTTGGTTTTTACATCTGCAGAGGAAGGGTACAAATATATTTCCCCATCAACTCTGTAGAGCTCTGTGAACTAAATGATATTATGTATATGGAGATGCTTTGGTCCCTTTGGAAGAAAAGCACTTATCTTCAGGGCTTCATGATTGTTACTTTCAGTTCTGCTTCTCACTGTGTGTCCTTGATCAAGGCGCTGAACCAATTGCTTGTTCTCGCTCTTCTCCCCTCTGCTACTTCCTCTCTCTCCTTTTAATGAGGAGATAATGTTATTGTCCCCATAGATGTGCCAGTAAATTTAAATTGTTTTAAATATCTTTAAAAGTATTTGAAGATGTTCAGGAAAAACCATTGTCGTTATTTGCAGTTTGACTGGAAATTATTATTTTACACATATGCAGTATATTTTAATGCAATTCTGAAGGTGATTAATTGGAAGTTTTCTTATAGTATACATAATACTAGAAAATGAGTTTTGAAACCTCCAGGAGTCCTTCATATACCCTCACTGTGCCTTTTCTTTTCTTGGTCAAGTACCTCCCTAGTTCTGTCACATCTGAGCTTCTCTGTGGAAAGTAGTTAGAACTCATGGCTTTTTAAAAAATGTATAATGGTTTATATGGTTAAATATATTAACATAAAGTTTACCATTTTAACTATGTTTAAGTGTACAATTCAGTGACATTAAGTACATTCACATTGTTATGCAATGTATGCATCTCTTTCTCTTTTTGCATCTCTTTTTGAAAAATATAGATTCCATAGTTCCTGACAATATTTGCTTTGTGAACCAATATTGTTATTAAAATTAAGTAGTGTGGACTATACTCATTTTTTTGCTCGTTCATTTTGTAGGAAGCTATGAGATTTATAAAAAGTGCTAGTTGTTGATTTCATTGGTTATGCTTCCTTTACCTCATTTCATTTCTGAAAGTAACTTGAACAACTTAATTGTTCATATGCAATATGTTTAACTCACATCCCTTTTGGTGCTGCAGGTTGCAGTGCAGGCAGGAATTAACTCAGGGACAGCCGTGTCAAGAGGAGTGTATCAACCAGCAACAATCTTTATGGGCCGCCAAATGTCATCTTTCTCAAGCATTGGAGATTTCAGTACGGAGCAGAAATCTCCCCAACCCATAAAGAACTTTTCAATTCCTGACCCACATTCACACCAACAGACAGCCCAAAGCAGTAATGTGACAGACAGCTATGTAGTACAAACTAGTAGTGACACACAGTGCTTAAATAAGTCTGACAAAATAGATGGAAAGACATCTCTTCTGACTGGTGAGAAAACGCCAGTCACAGCTGGCACATTGTCTGAGGAGGAACAAACTCATTGCTTGGAGATAGGAAGCAACAGACATCATGGCAAGAGTAATTTATCTGAAGGCAAAAAGTCTCCTGAACTCCATTCCCTGTTGCGAGAAAGATTAAGTCCAGAGGACAGAACCACTGATTTAAAGTGTGACAGTTCCAGCAGATCAGAGGGATCAGAGGGAGAAATACTGACACAGGAACATATTGAAGTCAAGGAAGAAAGAGCCAGACCGCCCGTCTCTCCGATATCAGTCTCAGAATACTGTGCATCTGAAAGTAAGTGTTCTCAAAAGAAGCATTCTGCTTGGGAAGGTTTCTCAGGTGGGGTGAGAGGCTGAGATTGTTTGCTGATTTTTTTGTTGTTGTTGTTACTTAGTTTTACTGGTCGATAGTAGTCTTATGTGAGAACAAAATATACTCTCTAATTTTCATATCTCTGCCAAAAAACAATGTAGTGTCTTTGCCAACAAATTCCATTCTAATGAATTCTTAAATATGTACATGGAAATATTTTTGCAAGTGAATTCTCTGATTTTTAAACCCACCGTGAAATTTTAAAAATACTTTTAATGAGTTTTTAAGTACTATAATGAGTTGTAAGTTGTTACTACATGTTTTTAACTGATGAGTAATTCCCTCTGTGAGGTGTAACATCTTATCTTGCTTCTCCCTGAAGTTAGTGATCAGTAATCTATTCATACCCCCTCTTACAGATCATCTTTCTCACGGGGACTCAAAGTCACAGAAGCCCTTCAGAAAAATGCAGAAAGAGCAGGAAGAGGAAAGTTTAAGCAGCAGCAGTGACCTCACAGTTTCTGTAAGTGAAGATGATCTGATCTTAAAGAGTCCAGAACCACAGCCAAATCTGGGTGACAAGATGGAGGGAGAAGATGGAATAGAGGCCTTAAAATTAATCCACTCTGAGCAAGAAAGAGATGCCCTATCCACTGAAAAACATAATTGTATTTCGCAAACTCTAAGCTCTCCTGATTCAAAAAAGGAATCCTCCAATAACTCACCAACAAGAGTGTAAGCCATTCCATTTTTTTTTTTTTACTGTTCTGTTTTTAATTATAGACATTTTTAGAGACCATTCTACTGGGAATGTATTATTGAACACTCAGCCATGAATGTGTAAGTTCCTTAAGTCTCATTGTCTTTCTTTTTTTATGAAATATCTTAAAAATATGAATATCATTAAAATCATATTGATTGGCAGTTTACAATTATATTCAAACAATTCCTGGTTAATTCATAAGTTATGCACCCCTATCCCCTACCCTTTATCCTTTTAGAAAATAAATAATTTTGAAGTTCTGGTAACACAGAAGGTGACAAACAGTTAGACTTACTAGGAATTCAGCTTCAGAGACTAAGAACTTTTTATCTCATTAATTTGCTTAATCCTTATATTCCTTGCCATAGTGTCATTTTTGCCATACAATTAAATATGAGTTGTAAGTTCTTCTATGAATATACCTAAGCCAGGTTTCCTTTTTGACTGTAAGTATTAGGACATTGGAATATTTAATGTTAAATAGGAATAATCTCAGTGTTACATATTTTGAGCACTTATAATATTCAACTCAAAAACTCATATGATTTTTTACTATTGATTGGAGATACTGGATAAAATTGTATTGAAAACATAGAAAATGTTGAAAAGCAATTCTGCAATAAAAAATAGCACTTACTGGTATCAAATCTCTTTTAGAAGTAGAAGAAACCTAAGTAAACAACCTAAGGTAGATCTGACCTTTTAAATATGAGGAAATCAAGGCCAGGAGCAAAGTGACACATTAGGGCAGACTTCCCATATAGCCTCCGCACACCACCCCAAGAACTTTGTTATACCGTGATACCGTCACTCTTTTTTTCCAGCAGTCCCAGCGATAGTGAAAAGCCAAGTGGGCATTCTTGTATATGAGGGTATATGTTCTCTTTTAAAGCACCATTGTACCTTTTTATATTTTGCTTCATACCATTCATTATCTACTTTTGGTGAAAAGTTTAAGTTATAGTCTGATTGACTCCAAACTGATGTTTAAGGAATATTTATTAAGAGTACGTCCAAGTACAAGTACTTGTGCCATGGATGGAGGAACCAACATGGTTCCTGTTTTTGGGAAATTTGGTTTATTGCAGAGGCAAGTCAAATGGATTTTTCTAGTAATAATACCTTATCTGTCATCAAGGAGGTATAGATATTACATACTACATCATCAGTAGAATATATCTATTTTGGGTTTTGTATTTGCAGGATTTTTTTAATATCAATTCATTGGATGTTAGTATTTTGGTTGTCTAACTAGAGGACTAGTGTGCTTACCCAGGACTCAGTCTTTTTCCGAGATGAAAAAATTGAGTATGTGTGTGAAATTAAGAATGTTCTATCTTCCACTCTCCTGTATGAATGACTTTTTCCTATGACCTTAAAGCCAAGTTCCTTGGAATTTGGGGATATAGTTTTACTAAATATGGGCATTTGGGGAATTTTTAAACATTTTTCTTAATAGAATGCTCCCAGAGTGAAAGGTCAGTCAGCAATGGTTGTTTTCTGTGTATGTGTTATCAAATTCGAGCCTATTGATTTTCTGAGGTAAAAGTACGCCACAAGAATAGCTTGAAGGTAGTTTTAAATGCTGCTGGTTAATCTGCTGACCTCATTGCCGCTTTTGAAATGTCCTTTTATTTCCTCTTTAGCATGAGCTCTTCTCCTTTGCTCTGAGGGTTATTTATTAATCTGAAGCTATAGGGTCATATTTACTGAGTAACACTATGACCTCAAAGGTCCATTTTATCAGTTTACTTTGGGGTTTGTTGGGGCCTAGAAAAAGTTACTTGAATGAATTCTAGTTAACAAAGATGAAGAGGTGAGACAAAGGAATATACAGAGAAGGATATGAACAGGAAACTGGAACCGCTGATTTGATGAGAATGATAATGATAGCTATTTTCTTTTAGCACATCTGTGTGCCATCTGAGTTGCTGTGCTTGAACATAAAACTTAAGTTTCCTAGCAGTGAAGGTGAGAAGTACAATAGGCTGGATAGTTTCTATCTGATGAGAAAAGTGAAGCCAAGGGTTATTTTTGCTTTGTTTGTTTTGTTTATTGTGTGTTTTATTTAAGAAATTTAATAGCTTTATTGAGATATAATTCAGATACTGTACAATCTACCCATTTAAAGTGTACAATTCAGTGAGTTTTGGTATATTGCATTATTAATTTTTAAAAATTGTGTTAAAATTTATATAACACAGAATTTGCCATGTTTTAGTGTACAATTTAGTGACATTAATTACATTCATAGTGTTGTACAATCTTCTCCACTATTTCCAAAAGTTTTTATCACCCCAAATATAAACTCCACAACCATTAAGCAATAACCCTCTCCTCTGCCCTCCCTTCAGTCCCTGGTAACCTCTAACCTTTCTGTCTCTATGAATTTGTCTGTTCTAGTGGCAGTTATACAATTAATGTCCTTTTGTGTCTGGCTTATTTCAGTTAGCATAATGTTTTTGAGGTTCATTCATGTTGTAGCATGGATATCAGAACTTCATTCCTTTTGATCGCATTCTAGAGTATGGCTATACCACATTTTGTTTATCCATTCATCTGTCAATGGACACTAGGTTGTTTCCACCTTTAAAAGCCAAACATTTTTGAAAAGCTTCATGACCCATTCCTACGTGTACTTCCAGATACTGAAAACCAGGCTATAACACATGCACATGACCTAATCCTTCATTGCAAGTTATAATTAACTCCTCACAAGAAACCATACTAGAATGAGCTGAGTTAAAAAAATGTCTAAAAGGAGAACCTTGAATCTTTTTATTTGTAAAGATTAAATAGTTTGCTACTAGTGTTGGTTTAAAGTCCCATGATTTAAAACACTAGCCATTGATTATTTTTCATGTGACAGGTGGTTGGCCCAATGTCAGGTGGAACCACAAATATAACTTGACCATTTGTCCCTCATCATTGGGGAAAGTAGTCCAGGCTCGGTCACCTGGTAGTTGTAGCAGGATTCCCAAGACAGTAAGAGGGCAAGCTCCAGTGCACAGATACTTTTTAGATGTCTGCTTGCGCCATGTTTACTAATGTACCATTGGCTGAAAAAAGTTACAGGGCCCAGCCCAGAGTCAAGAGATGGTGAAATACAGCCTCTCATGATGAGATGAGTTGCAAAGTCTCATTGCAAAAGGGTATACACAGGGATGAGGAGTTTATGGTCATATTTGTAATTTGCCACACAGTACTTTAGGACAAATTTAAATAAAGATAAGCTCCAAGTGAGTCCAAAGGGTCAGGAAAGGTTTTGTACAGGTGTGGATGCAGCATCTTGAGGGCTAGACAGGCTTTGAATAAAAAAGAGAAAAAGCAAATTTGGTCTAGAGGAAGAGTGCAAGAAGAAATGCAAATATAGAGGACATGAAGGGCATAGGAGGACAGCAGAGAGTGTGACTGAGGGCTAATGGAAGACTAGTTGGAGTAAGGGTTTAAAAATGTTGCTTGGAGAAGGTTGAGAAAGGCCTTGAATATCTAGTTGATGAATTTAGAGTTTATTCTCTATGTTTTGCAGCATTGTCGAAGGTTATTTTAAGAGGATAATATGGCGAGTAACCTGATTTAAGAGAATTAATCTGACATTGTTAATTTCATCAGGATTAATTATCCAGGTAGTAGGCAGAATTCCGAGATGGCCCCTGAAATTCCTGCCCCCTGGGGTACATCTGTATAATCCTCTCACTTTGAGTGTCGGTAGGACTGTGAGTTTGATGGATTTCTCTCCCATAATTAGGCTATGTTATATGACAGAGATGAAGGATTTTGCAGATATAATGAAAGTCCCAAATCAATTGACTTTGAGCTAATCAAAAAGGAATTATCTGGAGTGGGCCCAACCTAAACAGATCAGCCTTTGAAAGGGACTGGGCCCTTACTGATAGCAGAGAGATTCAAAGTAGCTGAGATACTCTCTGATTCACCTTGAAGAGGCAAACTGCCATTTTGTAGAGAAGGCCACATAGCAAGAAATGGTGTGCAGCCCCTAGGAGCTGAGGACCTCAGTTCTGTAGCCATAGGAATTAAATTCTGCCAATACCCAGTGAACTTGGAAGAGGACCCTGAGCCTTAGATGAGGTTGCAGTCCCGGCCTATACACTGATTTCAGCCTAGTGACACTCTGAGCAAAGGACCCCATTAACCCAGACCCAGACCCCTGACCCTTGGGAACTGTGAGATAAATTTGTGTTAAGTGCTAAATTTGTGGTAATGTGTTCTGCAGTGATAGAAAACTAATACAAACCAATTGAAGAATTGGAACCGAGGATTGTATCTTTGCAAGGGTTACCTGGGTAGAAGCCACTCCCCATAGTGACCCAAAGTAGGCTGAATCAGATGTGTTCAAGTTCCACTGAGTAGCCTAGAAGCCAAGGTAACCTGTGCTTTTTCTTGCCCTATACCCTCATCATTTGATCAGGTATGTTTTCACACATGGCCACATGCATGCTAAGCAAGGATGGTAGACTGGCAGGGACCTAGAAAAATGGGCACATCTGCATTAACCAATAAGAAGTTTCTTATGCAAACATTATTTCCGTGGTGAATGAAGCAGTGTATTGTGACGTTTTGTTTGTTTGTTTTGCTTTATTTGTTTGCAAATGAATAATGTCACATATCTGCCTTTATAACATCATACAGAAGTTTCTCTGCCTAAAAATCCCCTGTGCTGCATCTACTCATCTCTTTTCTCTCCTAACCCTAACCTGAGGTAACCACTGATTTTTTTTTTTATTGTTTATACAGTTTTATCTTTTTCAGAATGTCATATTCTTGGAATTATGTAGTATGTGGCCTTTTTAGATTGGCTTCTTTCACTAAGCAATATGCATTTTAGATTCCTTCCTGTCTTTTCATGGCTTGATAGCTCATTTCTTTTTAGTGCCAAATAGTATTCCATTGTCTGGATGTACTGCAGTTTATCCATTCACCTGCCAAAGGACATCTTTGTGGCTTCCATGTT